GCTGGGTGGGGGGCGGGAGATGGGGGCCGCGCCGGGGCCGGGGGTAGTGTAGACCCGGCACGATCGGGCTGGGAGGAAGGGAGGCGCCGAAGACGGAAGGGAACCGGTTCGAAAAGCGAGTGTGGGCCGCGAGAGGCCCGGCGGGGACCGTGCGGAGCGGTGACCGAGTCCGAGGTGGGGCGGGGGGAATCGAAGTTGTCAGACCGCCTCCAAGTGACAGCGGGACCCCATGCTCGCGGCCCGGCCTGGTCCAGCCCTGCCGGCTCGCAGCGTCTCCTCCGGGGCTGGGGGCCGGGTTAGGTCGGGCCCGAGGGGCCCGCTCGGCGGTGAAGCGCCGGACAAAGGCGGCGCCGGAGCGGGCGCAGGTGGTGGCGTCGGGGAGGGGAGCGGGTCCACGCCACCCACCCTGAGGGGCGGGCGACAGGGCCGGACTCTGCCCCGGGGATTGCGGGGGCCAGGGCGCCCGCCGGGAGGAGCTGCGGCACTGGCTCACCGCTCCAGCCGCTGTTCGCCTGGCGCTTCTGGGAAGAGTGGAGTCAACCCCGCCAAGGCTGAGGGGTAGAGGTGGGGTGTGTGCACATGGTGGGCCTGCTGGTGACGACCGCGTTGCAGGATTCCCTGAGGCAACAGTCAGGTGAACCGCTCCAGAGCCTGGCAGGAATGAGAGGCAGCCTGCCCTTAGGCAGAGGTTTAATCCCACCTGGGACATTTCCTCTGGGCCCATGGACAGACTTCGGGTGCAGAAGACCAGTTGGATTGGGCGGGGCGGTTAGGAGATAACCCCCAAATGTACTCCAGCCATGCCTTCAGTGTTTTTCTTTAGCCAACGAGGCTACCCACATGGGGAAATGAGAAGCTGAGTTTATAAATCTAGGCAGGAGTTTAATGTTTAAATTAAAAGGGGTTTCTAGTCCTTTTCAATTGTGCCTCCCAAGAGAGTTTTCTCAGCGTCCTATGTCTTCCGGGAAAAAAAAGGAGGAAAGGACCCCTGAGAAACCACATGTCTTGGAGGGGACACCATTGTCCTTCACCAGCTGGAGGACAGTTGGGAGCCATAGGCTTCAGCTCTAAGTGCCTCTAACCCCACCAGGCAACTACTTTGGATGCTGTCCATTTGTAAAAACTGATTCAGAGCTCCTTTTCCTCCTCCTGTGACCTACCTAATGGAGGAGTTGGGATCAGAAAGAGGAGACTCAGACTCTTTAGAATGTGGACCTTTGCTGAAAGTCTGGGTTCTAGTTCCACCTCAGGGAATTCTGTCAGCCTCGCTTAGTATGGCTTCACTCCCCAGGAATATCTAGATCCCAACCTGGGTGGAGTTGAGGTGGGAAAGAGATATTATCTCCTGCAGGAAACTAAAGTTTGTTCTGAGAGAATTTAATTGTATCTAAGGTCTAGAGAATGATGAAGAATCACAATTCCTTAATCCTTCTCAAGTGCTATGCAGTGTGTGGTTCCTTTTGGTGGTAGTAAGGAGGCGATACCTGGTCTCGCCATTGGAATATTAAGAGCAGTTACCAAAACAAGGTTTTTCTCTGTCCGGCTCTTGCCTGTCAGGATACTCATTTTAGAGTAAATCTTTGGGAGGACTTGCTCTGGAAAGTTTACCCAGAGAAGAGGTTGTCCCCTTCTCTTTCCTTTTCCCCCTTCTCTTGCCCTTCTGTCTGCACATTAGGTCTGAGTTACTGTCACAGTCTCATTTCCCGCTTGCTTTCTCTGACCCTTCTGATCCAGCTTGTCCACAAGGTCATTCTTCCTAAAACACGCTTTCCGGGTCTCACTCCCCCGTCTACCATCTTGCAGTGGTTCCCTTTTCCTATAGTCCTACCCTGGACAGTGTCCCTCAGGGGTGTCCCCTGCATCTTTGCTCCTGCTGCTTTCCCCAGTCATCCCAGTATGGAGCCTCTCACCTCCCTTCCATCCTGCAACATTATTCACCTTTTCTCTCCCTGTCAGGCCACCTTTGCTTTTCTCTGAGGTGTGACCCTGGATTTTCTAAAATGATGCCTTTTTTGAGTGGTTTTGTAGGTTGGACATATCTTAAGGACAGGGACAGTGTGAGGGTTAAGCCTGTGTGTATGAATATTCCAGGATTTTTGTTACAGTGCCATTTACATTGATTTTTGTTAAATGAGTAAATGCAATTTGGCTGCTTAATTGGATGGGAACAGAGGCCATATTCCCCTCTGCTTCCCCAGAAAAGCTCAGTATTTAGCCTGTGGTGGTTTCTGACTTGTTCTGTCAGGGACCTGAAGGTAGAGCATTTGGGGGATGCTTTAGCATGTTTACAAATGAAATTTCGCTGTATTTCTTCTATTCTGGCTAATGAAGAGTCTGTCCTATGGATTGCTCCTATGACAGACACCATATAGACGTGAATTGGAAAAGGGCTGTGATCCTGTTTTCCTCCTGCTCTACCCAAGCCATTCTCTCCGCCCGTCTTTGCTGCTCTTATGCAATTTTCCTTGTTGTCCATGCTAAATGAATCCATATGTTTTATCTCTTCTCAACCTTGGGTGTGAATGAAGAAGAAAATACAGTTCTGAGAACAGAAAAGAAAAATCTCCTGGGTTTGGTCTGTGGATGGGACTTTTGGCATTAAGTTTTGGAGGAGATGTGTATAAAGGGCACCCCTCACTGAACCCATCAGAAAGAAAACTGATGGTCCCAGCTTTTTCGGAACTTGCACTTTTGTTTACCATCAACCCTGGATCGTGGTGGAAACAGAAACAGGACTGGTGACTGGTTTGAATGTAGACAGGGAAAGACTAAATTCTGCATCCATCCCCTTTCCCCCAAACCTCCCTTTTGTGCCCCAGTTTGATGATTAATGGACCAACATTTCCCTTCCTTGCTGGAAGGCCACCCCTCACAGTTGCCATGGCAATGCAGACCGCTCCCCTGTCAATTAAAAAAAAAATCACTACTACTTCTCTCCTTGTTTCCAGTGTTGTAGGAGACAAACCACTTCAGGATGATTCTCCTGGCTCTCGCCTCAACTGCTCAGGGTGTTGCTGCTGTGTGACCTAGAACACAGTCCTTCCTCTGGTTCTAGGGTTCCCTGAGTTTCATCACCCTG